GTACACCCTAAGTCATGGTTCCCCAATCTGTACTTCGATGTTTGTACGTTGTTTGGGACAAACTGGGGCTTAAGCGGGGACCTCAAGTATCCATGCCCAACCCAAGCAACAGGGTGTAGGACCCCAGGGTACTGAGACCTGACACGTCAACACAATTTCTATGTCTGTCCCGGACATAGCCGAAGTCAGTCTCAGCAGGCTAAATGTGGGGGCCCAGAACACTTCTTCTGTGCCATCTGGGGCTGTGAGTCTACGGGAAAGATAGATCGGAAACCCTCTGTACAAGGTGATTGGATACAAGTTAGCCAATCTAAAGGGCCTACCTGCTGGAGTAACCCAGACTGTAATCCGATCTGCGTTCACTTCACCTCCATAGGAAAAACTAAGTGGGAAGAGTGGAAATTAGGGAGGATGTGGGGCCTTCGCTTTTATGCAGAGGGAGCAGACCCCGGAGCTCTTTTCACAATTATGCTCTGGGAGGCCCCACTCTTAAATAAACCACCAGTCATCTGGGGACTGAACCCAGTGCCTCCTCCTCCACTCCCGGAGGAACTTCAGAAATCTACTGCAGGACCTACCTACCCTTTGTCTAGGACAGATTCAAGGTCAGATTCAAAGCTACGCCACTTAACGTTCTCCCTGTCCCTAACCAGACCCAGTCTCTTCCGCCTAGTAAAGGCCACTTATCAGGTATTAAATATCTCCAAACCAGAAGTAACCTGATCCTGCTGGCTTTGCCTAGACTCTAGACCCCCTTTCTATGATAGCATTGCTCTAGTAGCCAATTTCTCTACTGAGACCGACTCCTCCAAATGCCGGTGGTCCCAAGGGAATTTTGAGTGTGCTCCTAGAGTTACCCTACAGACCCTCACAGGGCAAGGACTTTGTGTTGCCACCAACCGACTGCCTCCTTACCCTCACTTATGTAGCCAGACCCTAAATGTTAATTCCGAGATCCAATCATACCTAGTAGCCCCTCCCAACACTTGGTGGGCATGTAAAACAGGAATAACTGCTTGTATCCATGCTGACACCCTTAGAACTCATGATGTCTGCATTCTCATGCAACTCATCCCCCGGATAGTAGTGCACGGTGAAGAAGAAATAATTGATAGCTATTCCCTACGTCAAAGGAGTCTAAGCAGGCAAAAACGAGAAATTATTTCCACCATAGTAGTCTCTGCCATTTTGGGGGCTGGGCTGGCTGGTGCTGGTACAGACATAGCATCTCTAGTCCTCCAAGATAAAAATTACAAAGCCCTCAGTGATGCTATCAACCATGATTTCCAAACAGTAGAACTTACTCTAGCCCATCTAGAAGAGTCTTTGTCCTCCCTAGCAGAGGTTGTACTACAAAATAGAAGAGGACTTGACTTACTGCTCCTGCAACAAGGAGGACTATGTGTAGCCGTAGGAGAACAGTGTTGCTTCTATACCAATCACTCAGGTGTTATTCAAAATTCTTTGACTGAACTAAAAACTAGAATTCAAAACCAGCAGAGAAATAGAGCAGCCACCCAAAACTGGTATGAAAGCCTTTTCAGTTGGTCCCCTTGGCTAACAACTTTATTATCAGCAGTAGCAGACCCCCTCTTACTTCTGATACTAGTTATTACATGTGGCCCCTGCCTTATCAATGCCCTCCTCAAATTTGTACAGAAACGGATCTCCACCATCCAGCTCATGGTCCTTAGACCTCAGTACAGGCCCTCGAATAAGGAAGACCCTATTCCGTTACTTCAAAGATTTGAAATAGAACAAAACTCAAGGGGGAATGAAGAGTCCTGACTAAAGAGTCTGGGCATAAGCTACTCCATTTTTTTAATGACTTCGTTTTGTGAGAAACAGGTCAAGCCCACTCTGTGCATGGCCTGCTCTGCGCATGGCCCGTGTCTGCGCACGGCCCACTTTGCACACGGCCCGCTTTGCACATGACCCACTCTGTGCACAGCCCGCTCTGTGCACGGTCCGCTTTGTGCACGGCCCACTCTAGTGTAAAAGAAGAATAAACTTGTACTTTGGGGTCTCCACCTGCGTGTGCGAGACCCCAGCATGCTGGCTACCCAATAAACGGTCTTGCTTTTGCATCCACGGGTGTCTTGGTTATTTGGAGGTTGATTACATGGACCCAACACTTTTAACTTTAAACTTTATCTTTTCAACGTTTCAAGGCACCTCTCCTCCCTGAGGTCGCCTGCTGCACTTTTCTTTCTTTAAGTAACTTTAAATTAAACTTTTACTTTGCTTTACTACTGTGTCTCTGCCCTTCAATTCTTTGTTGTGACAGGGACAAGAACCAAGGAAAATACACAACACACCCCCTAACACTCTGGCTAAACAAACTTACTCATGAGTTCTGTGTGTCCATTTTCACTGCAGCTTATCCAGAAGGCTAGTATCTCTCTTCCCCCAGCAATATCTGATTTTTCCCATAATGTTTTTATGTAGGAGAAAGTCTGACACATTTTTCAGATGGCATAGATACTCATGCATCTATATTGTAGGTCCATGGCAGTTTCAGGGGGCACTGGTTATTGTTCAGTACTGATAATTGTCCCCTGTATCCACTCTTCCTGTTTCTATTAGTACTGGAACCCCTCAGTTTCAACAGGAAACACAGGCACCCAACTAGGGGCTGGACACCCTCGTGTCCCCCTGTGGGTAAAATTGTAATATTTCCAGAATATCTTGCCTGGCTTTAGTGCATTTGCATATCAACAGGCATTCTTCAGGGGTGGTGATTAGTAGTTCATCTCTATACCAGTGGGTAATTACCTAGGCAACCGAGGGCTTATCTGAACCTGAGAGGTTAGGGGGAGAACTTTTTTTTGCTTCTACCAGAGTAGGAGAGAGAGACGGCCCCAGGCTGCAGTTTGTAAGTAATAAACGGGCTTTAAGCTTTATTTCTCACTTTGACTGATTTCAGCTTTAGTGGTATTTTGCCCCAGGGTTTCCTCTCCCCAGACTTACACCCTCCTCACTGTGAGATGTGTGCATGTGGCTAAGAGTTCACAAGGCAGAAGTAGTGTGCCCAACTGTGCATCACCCCCTCTACTTCCTAGGCTGGAATGGGAACATGGAACAGCACCATAGGAGCAGTGGACCAACAATGTAATGAAACCTGGGACTCAAGAACCACCCTCCTACCTCTGGACTGATGGATGTAGGAGGGAGATAATCTTTTGTTTTGTTTCAGCAGCTTAGCCTATATACTAAGTAAAATTCTGGGTAAATCACCAGAAGACAACCTGTATCTTAGGTTCACTTCTGCCTCTAAATAACTGTGAAGACTTTAGTAAATCACTTTATTTTTCTAAGCCTCAGTTTCTGCATCTTAAAATTAAGGGGTTAGACAGAATGGGAATTCTAACATTTTTCTGTGTGTGTGTCATTGTGGGTAAAACTGCAATATTTCTAGAATCTCTTACCTGGCCTTAGTCCATCTTCATATCAATAGGTGATTACATGGGAGCAAGGGCATATCTGGACTGGAGAGGCTAGGTGGGGCTCTTGTGAGGCCAGGTGGAGAGACAAGGGAGAGCAGAAGTAGATGACTGCTTGTAAGCAATAAACAGATTTCTCCCACTTTATTTCTCCCTTTGACTGATTTCAGCTTCACAGGTTATTTGCCCCAGGATGGGAGCATATTTTCCCCCAGAGTTACAGCCATAGACTCCTTTAGCTGACTGGTAATAAGAAAGCCTAGAGGCCCTTCTCAGAATAATGCTTCCAAATGCATAAGATAATATACATGAAATCACCAAAGAAACCAATTATACTGAAATACAGTTCTACTCACAGACCCTTTGGTATCTGTGGATCCCAAATGGACACCTGGATGATCTCTCAAGTTGCATCTTGATTAAAATGCCTAGGAGTTTATGATTCTATTCAGTGCACAAGATAAAGCAATAAGTCTCCTGTGTTGTTTATATTCAGTTCTTGGAGATAGTCAGGGACTCAGCCTGGAGCTTGCCTTTGATATGCAAACTAACCAATTCAGAGGCACACCTCTTCTATCAGCCTATGCACTCCAAGAGGCCAGATTCCCCTGCCGTAATCCTACCAGGGCCAGGTAACAGGCAACCAGGGACCACCTTTAATAGCCCAAAGCCCACAGGAATTATTCAAACTAGCCAATCCTAACTCCTAAACTGTTTATCCTGTCCTGCTTGCCTTTCCCACAGAAACTTCAGTATACGGCTTAAGCTCTGCCTTCCCTCCTGCCCAGCTGATACTGGTCTTCCACACATGGCCCTGCATACATGTGCCGTGCCTCCTGTCTCTAGGACCTATGATTATAACAAACTTTGTTTTCCTGAACCTCTCCTCTTGTTGCCACATCTGACTGACCATCACAGAGAAGAACCCAGAACACTGCACTTGTTGCCTGGAAGTGTTAGTGGTCTTCTGAATGTGATAGGATCCCATGTAGAAATAACACTCCCATTTGTACATATCTGATCTATTCAAGACACCACTGAAAAAAGACTACTGAAATCAATAATTACAGTTTGCCTTAAGGACAAAGTTGTAGCATTTTGTTTTCTGAGTTCACAAAATCTGCAATTTTAAAGAAGGGGCGTGGAATGAAATAATAAAATTGATCTTTGAAATGGGTATTGAAGAGTAAGTCCCCCAATAACACATTACTCTTTTGTTGCAGCTTCCATAAACTGAGACAGCTTTTCCTACTGTTAGGACTTAGCATCTTTCACTCTCACACCTACAGAGAAGTGCAGTGGAGGCTCACTGAAGATAAGTGCTGACATGAGTGACAGCAGCACAATCTGGAAATGGCCTACGTTTGGGTTGATGCCTTCAGGGTTAGACTTTAACACTGGGTCCAATTTTACTGTAAGTCAATATCGCTATGCCATGTAATCTGGAAGAATGTTCAACTATCTCTTTCATCATTGTAAAAAATATGTTTGGATAGATTGATTTGGCCTCAGTGTTTTAAACATTCTTGGGTGTTCTGCTTTTTTGCTAGGTCTTACCTCGAACAAAAACGTAAGCACTGTATTGTTCATAATATTCTCCCATCCGTACACGGATTGTGTAGAGACCTTCATCTTCTTTGTTGAGATGAGAAAAAGTCAGTGTTGCCCGATCTCCACTCCAATGTGTCTGCACCCACTTTGACGGAGAAACAGGTTCACCTAGAAAGTAAGCAAATTAACTGATTGTCCCTCCATTACCCCCTTCCTCTCTCTCTTGCACTCCTTTCTCTCTTTAGCCACTTCTTCTATATTGAAAGCGGTTTGGCTATTAGAGGAGATTTCTAGGGCTTTGAGACACTCTGCTGTGTTTATATTAGTAAAAATACTAAACCAGGAGTGAGGGGACCAGGGCCGGATATATAATCTGCAGGGCCAAGTGCAAAATGAAACTGCAAATCCCCTTGTTCAAAGAAAAAAAATAGAGTTAAAGGAATTAAAATATAAGCTTTTTCCCCTAAAAATATTTTGTTATGTATAAAACACAATAGGGGTAATATGAATTACAAAAATACAATATTTTCATGCCATAATTTCATATACAAAAATATTTTATTAATATAATATCTGATTGATAGTAAAATGCTTCTGGCTTTCTTTTCTGCAAATTCAGTTATTAGATCATTAGACTTATACTTTTAGCAACTTCAGTTTAAATGGATAAAATCAGTCACTCTTTGCAAATGCAAGGTCACAAATGAGTTGCTAAATTTTTAATTTTTAGAAGGATCTTTCTGCTGATGCAACTATTACTGCAGCTGTAAAGATATTATATAGTTATAATTTATATAGCTTTATACTATATAGTAATATATAGTTATAGGATTATAAATTTAGCATTGGGTTAGCTTTTTGATAATTATTTCAAACAGATTTCAGTACTCTAGAGGTAATTCTTGAGGAAGAAAATTTTAAGATTTAACTCTACATACATATCACCTTCATATAAGTTTGATTTTAATTTTAAATGTACATTTATATAATTGCATTGTAATGTTTTCTCTAACATGTCCTGTAACTTGTGGGGGTCCTGCAAGAGGTCAAAAATTACTTTGTGATTTGTTTATAATTCAAAATGCCTGTTTATACATTCTATCATTGTATCTTCAATTATGAGGAAAATTAAAGATGATCTTCATTGTTAATAATTGCTTCATCCAAAGTTTCGTATGAAAATAGTGTTCTTCATTAACTGCAACAATCTTTAAACTTAGTTTCTATTTCCAAGCCTGTGGACATTCTTTTTGCAGTGTTACGGCAGTTTTCAAAATCAGAGATTCTAAACTCCAAAGAATTGTAACAACTGCCTTTTGTGCTTTATTGCAATATCTGTATTTGTGCTTTAATTTTATAACATTTTATTAACAAAGTTTACTGCCTGATTGCTGCAGTTTCTGTCCCAGTGCTTAGGCCAGGGAGCTAATATTTGTGTAAGTATCACAGAGATGAGATCTGGGGATGGCCAGCAAGCTGGCCTCCCACTGTGGGCTCCTGTGCTGCCCCCACGTAGAGCCCCTCCCCTTCTCCTCTAGGGCCATGTCCATCATCAGCACTGCTGCTATCATTACTGGCTTCAGTCTGGCCCCTGGACCTGGTCTAGCCATCACTTGGGGACCCCATGGTGCCCCAGACTGCCCCAGGTGCCTGTGTGCATAACTGAAGCTCAGGCCAACTACCCACCTGCCCAACTACCCAACTACCCACTGCCCACCTGCCCATCATGCCCAGGGTCCAATGGGTATGCTCTTTAGTCCCACTGGACTTCACTGAACTTCATTTTATTTTATCAAATAAAATTAACTTACAAAATGAATGTATGTCTAAATTACAAAATCACATTTTTTGTAATCTTTCCACATATTACTTGGTGATAAGGAATTATAACCTCCACAAATATATTTTGAAAGTTCTGCTTTGATATGTGTACAAAAACTTTTTCAACATCCAGTAGGGCACGCCCTCTCTGAATTCTGCCACCAGCTCTGTAAACAGGTCTGCAGTCTAACGGACGTTCGTGCTCTGGTGCCAAGCCCAGTCTGCGACCTTCTGTGAATAAGAACCTAAGTGAGAATTCATCATAAAGGCTCACCATCTCTGTACCACTGGACCTCTGGCTGGAAACGTTTGATTTCAGGAGTGATAACTATGCGGCAGCCTAGACTCATCGTCTCGCCCTCTCTCCCAAAAGACACATCAAACTTGTCATCAAAGTGGATCTCAAACTTGGATGCATAACCATAAGGGGTCACAGCAACTGGGTACAACAAAAACAAACATCAGTCATCTATTTTTTCTCATCAAAGAGACACAAGTGTTTTAATAAGCACAGGCAGAAAACAGTCATGACAAACACCAAATGATTTATCTGGGCAAAAGTAAGTCTTATAAAGAAATATGTAGCTCATTCATATACATCATTATGTGAAGTGGAAATTTTGTGCACAGAAATTCTTGCTTCATTGATCAGATATGCTAAATTCTTATTTTTATTATTGTAATGAATAGAATTTAAAGGGTCAGGTTTTATGCCTTACATAAAATGTAAATTAATACCACATTTAGCTTAGACTTAAATAGTTAGCTGCAGTACATGCACTCTTTAATTTTAGATTCTGAGTTCATTTAAACTCCACTGCTTGTACTACTGGGAGAAACAGCGTATCAGTTATTCATAAAAATAGAGTCTTTCAGTAAGTTGTTTCATTTTCTTCAGTGAGCTGAGGAAGAACTATAAGAAATGTCAAACTGAAAAGTTTAAAATATTGAAACTTTAAAAAATATTTTTCTTAGAAATCTCTTATTTATAAGTTGAGAAAATGTCTATTTTATAAACTCTCCCTGGTTTTATTTTCTCTTCCCTCAAAGGAAAGGATTAGAAAAATAATGACTATTTATTTGATGGGCTATTAAAATGCCAAGTACTTTACATTTGACATATCATACAATCCTGGCAAAAACTTGATGGCATAGATATTACTTTTTCCTCTCTTTCAGATGATGATATAGTAATTCATAAAAATAACATACAGCTACTGCCAGTGTTTCAAAGGTATCATGTATGAAACTGAAATTCAAATCCATAACTGCCCACTCTGAAACTTAGGCTCTTTCTCTCCTATTTCTTCTGTATTCCTAACACCTCTTAGCATTAACTTGAAAATGCAAGCTAACATTGAATTCAGCTTGTGCCAAGTGTTGTTCCAAATGTTTAATACCTGTGAACTCAAACCTTATAATAATCCTATCAGGTAAGTACCATTATTATCTGTTTTATAGATGAGGAAACAGAAGCATTGGGAGGCTAAGTAACTGCCCACATTCACTCCACAGAAGCAGAATTTAAACATTGGCAGTCTGTTTCCAGAACCTGAGCTCTCATCTAGCACATGGTAGTGCCTTGAATTTGTGTGCTCCCAGGCCACCACCAACCAGCAGTGAAATAACTTCTTTTTGAAGCACAGGTCCCATCTGCTCCACTCCTACCTGATGATGTCCCACTGAGATCAATAAGCAAAACAACTCAATTAGACTTTGATTTTTGGGAAGCTGGGATGGTTCCAAAGCTGCTTTAGGGAGTAGAGATGAGGGTTCCAAGGAAAGCCTGGTTTAGGTCAGGGGATGGCAAATCTGTGAGCCAAATCTGGATTGCCTCCCATGTTGGACCATCAAGAAAGGTTTTAAAATTTCTTAATGGTTGAAAAAAATCAAAAGAAGAATAATATTCTGTGACATGTGAAAGTCACAGGAAAAAATTCAAATTTCAATACCTGTTAAGGTAGGTTTTATTCAACAAAGCCATGTTCACTTACTTACCTACTATCTATGGCTGCTTTTGTGTTACAATGGCAGAGTTGAGTAGCTGTGACAGAGACTATATGGCCCACAGTCTAGGCTTTTATGGAAAATATTTGTCAACCTCTGGTTTAGAATTGGAAAGAATTTATAAGTCCTTACTCTACCACTATGTGTGGTCTTGTCCCAAGACTTAGCCTCTAAACTGTTTCCTCATCTGCATAGCACAGATTAAAAGGCACTTGTTTCACAAGCTTTGGGAAAGCATTAAATGAATCAATGCATATAAAAAAGTTCTTGGTATGGTGCCTGACACAGTTGATTAATACATATTAGCTATTTGAACAGAACCAAGGGCAGGGAGCTTTATCTATGAAATTTACCAGCATATTCCAAGCACTTAAACCAGTATCTAGCACATAGCAGATGCTCAATAAATATTAGCTGAAGGAATGACTAAGAGTCCTCTATTTTCTATGTTGGGAACAACTGCACTCAATTCAGTGGCCAGTCAGGTGAGGCTCTGAAAGCTTAAGATGTTAAAGAAGTAAGACTGAGCTGGGCTTTCAGACCCGGGCTTGATGGAAAAAAAGGGAAATGGGAGAAACATGGATGATGATATTGCAATGGGAATGAGCAGGGTACATCTGGAGGATTGTGGAATGATCTACTGGCCAGTCTTGGGGACAATGGGAGATAAATCATAGTTTCAGAATTTTCAACTTTTCTATCTCAAAATAAATCAAATGATAGAAAGACATGATTTGGGATGTGTTTCTTTCCCACTCCCACCCATAATCCCCTCCCTGCCGATGAGATTGATGCCAATGACTATACCTTGGAATACTGAAAATAGGAGCAATTCCATGAAGTCAATGGAGTAGGTCATCTACAGACACCAAACTAACCAGTTTGGTGAAAAACTGATGGAGGAGAAAGTATCTTCATCAACCATTTTCAAAACTACCACTTATTTTTTAATGTTGGAGAATAAGAAGTTCAGGCTTAACTACCTTTTCAGTCTGACCATTGTTAAGCACATGCTTATTTAAACAACCATAAAGATTTTACTTTTATGGCTTCCAATGAAAAGAAATTGTGATATAGATGAAAAAACAAAGGTTCATAAATTCACAAATCACCACCTATCAGAATATTTGTAATGGTTTTCCATTAAACCATATTTATATTTCATTTTAAGTTGCACTTCATAAATTAATATATTTATTTATTCTTTCATTATTGAACACCTATTGTGTCAGGCATTGCAGTTTAGAGATAACTGTTTAGGTCTAGCCTTGCCCTCAAGTGGATCGTGGACCAGTGGGAGACAAAGACATGTAACAGTTAACAGTGTCCAGTGTGATACTGTTGGAGGTGCCCTGGCCTCACTTAATTCTGACTGGGTGGGGGGCTGGGGTGGCAGTGGGGGTCAGACATGGATTTCCCAAGGAGGTGATGCTGACCTGGATATTTAAGGATGAGTAAGACTGCTCTGGAACAGTCTAGACTTGTGTATATATATGTGTGTGTGTATGTGTGGTTAAATCATTCTGCCCAGGCTTGTGTAATGATCTTTTTCAATTTACACAGAAGACTTAAAAGCATTTGTCATTTTTAGTTCATCACATCTGGGCTTTTATAAAACCAGAACTAATTATATTCACAAAGAGAATAGTAGCAAAGAATCTAAAAAAAGGAAAACTATAGATAGCTAATATATACTATGCATGTTTTCATCTTTTTAGAACAATTTGTTATGCTATATTTTAAATAGAGATGACACTTAGCAAATATATTTTAAAACTTACAGCTGAAGGGCAAGGTGGAAGTGCCAGTACGGAAGTGAGTCTCATCAAACTCTCCCTTATATCCTAGAAAGAAAGCAGAAACGCATATGAACTGCTTCTTGACTTATTTTTTAGCAATGAGAATAAATTTTTAAAAATTTTAACAGAACAAAGCCAGAAAACCTACTCTTCACTACAACTGAAGCATATGCTGAGAGCTCTCCTTGGACGTTCATTGCTGAGGCCCGATACTGAGCAGTATCCTCAAAATCACATCTGAAAAGACATGTGCAAATGAGTGGCCATCACAGACACTCCCTGTAATTGCTAGCTCTTCTGTCAAGGGTCTCTTGCCTAACATGCACACTGCAAACCATTGGCTAATATATGGCACTTTGTGACTCTTGATGAAGTGACTTTCTCTAATCTAGCTCCCTGGGGGATTTTATATAGTCCAAGAGATTGACTGCAGTTTCAGGTCAGCAGCACAGAATGAGAGGAGAACATCTATTTAACACTTGCCCAGGTTAATTTACAATGTCCAGAAAAATGTCAACAAAGTGTTAGGCACCTAGTGTGATAAACTGGTCTATCTAAAGTTATATCGGGAGCAGAAAATGTCTGGCCATGTATCTTCATAGCAGGTAACTACCTGGAGCACCCTGGGGGCACAGGTTCCTTGCTGGCACCTCTCAGGGTGAGTGTCAATGTGGGGGCAACAGGTGACTGACAGAGAAAGAAACAGCCTCTCTTTATGGACTCCATAGCCTCCCTGAGCCATAAACCGGATCCAGGCTGGCCTAATATATGGTTCTGTTCTAGCCTCAAAGTACAAGTAAGTTATTTATCCCTCAATTCTACTAAGGTTCAGGCCACTCTTGGAGTTTCAGCCCATAGTACGACACAAGAAGTGTCATCTGGAAGTTTCTCTTAAGTTATAATACAGAAAGAAATTTGGGCTGTCTTTAATAATGGAGTCACAGAGAGACGAACAGTTGTTTTGTGTCTTTATCACTACCAGTGTCCGTGTTCTTCATTGTTCCTCTGGGTTTAGTTTGTTAAAAACTTATTTCTTGTTGAAATTTTACAGACATCAATATAAACCCAGGAAGGACAATACGGTTGCCCTTCTCATAACTACTTAATTATAAAGCAACCACACAGCTCACTGCTACCTCAGTAGAACCCCCAAATGACAGAAGGGATGTGACTTTAGATAAGGGTCAGTGCTTGGTGAATGTCCCCAGGTCCCAGGTTCTGTTTGAAGCCCAGTACCACCTGTGTCAATTGCTGTGATCTGAGGAGAAGACGATATATCTCTTGAGATCAGAACAATGTACAATTCATTTTGACATCTCAGCATGTTGTGCTTTTGTGTGAATTGAAAATGGCGGGAGCTTGTTTAACTTTTTCATTTCAAAACCATATTTGGAGACTTTTTCACTTCAAAACTGTATTTGGAGACATGATAGAACTTTTGAGATAAAACTTCTGAGATTTTGATGTGGGTTCTGCTTTCGAATTTTGCTTTGGATTTTGTCTTAAAAACATCCCAATGTCCAGCCCTGCCTCCACCTACAGGTTGATAAGGTGGGCACATAGTTTCCCACAGTTCCTGGTGAGCTGAAAGAAAGAACAATTTCTGCTAGTCCAACTTACTTTCAATGCCTCCTACCCCAATCTCCAGGGATTTCCCTCATTAAAGGCAAAAGAGTATGATGGTGCTGCTGACTTGAAACTCTGAAAGGATAATTGAATATAAATGCCTATTCATGTAACATTTTCTTACTAATGTCTAAGAAAAATTCTCAAATATATAAAAAGATACAAATTAACTTTTTCAACTTTGACTCAATTCAAACCCAAGAGCACTTTGGGAGGTAGCACAGGCTGTATGATGGAGTCCCGCATCTCACTCAGGAATGCACCAGAGGCAAAGTGTATGACTGCCCCACAGTGATCCTACTGCACTGGGAAGAAGGGGGAGGGCACGTGGTAATAAGAGCCATGAGATGCCTCCCTGAGCGACTGCTGGGCAACACACATGGACCCCGATGTCCTCTTACGCATGAATTTCCAAAGTGTGCATTCCATATCGACTTTCAATAACATACTTTCCGGGGTGTGCATGGACGTTTATTGGAACCTGGTTTTTGTACCTATGAGACAATGGAAATAAGTTGAAGTGTAAATAGCTTTGTGATTAAAAGCACACACTTGTACACACACACATACACACACACACACTTCTTGTTCCTGAAGGAGCACCTGTTAACACAGCACTGAGGTTACCAGAAACGTCTGCTGAATAAATGCAAATACAGTAGGTTAAATAAAATATACTATACAATAAAACTTCTTGATGAACATGCTTTCCTCCCCTCCATCATAAAAACTACATTTAAGAAGTTGACAAGCAATGTGGCTGAATCTGGAATATATAAAGTGGAGAGAAAAGAGCCAGACATGAAAGAGTACATAGTGTAATGACTGTACAAAAGTATAAAACCAGAAAAGACCAATTAATGCTGCTGAAATTCAGATGATTTCCCTGGCAGAATGGAGGGGACACGGAGGAGGCATTTTGGGTGTTAATAATGCTTGGCTTCTTGATTTGGGGGTGGGTTCCATGGGTGTGTGCAGTCCACAAAAATTCACCAAAGCTCTATGTTTACAAACAATATGCACTTTTCTGCATCTATTATACTTCCATAAAAGAGCTAAAAAAGTAAAGAGAAAAACTTGAGCATTGTTGACACGACAGAGAGGCAGGCTTTGTGTTGGAGGTTTTATTGTTTGCTGGCTGTGTACGATGAAAGCAAAACATTCTTCCTACTAACATTTTTGCATTCTGTTAAAAACAATGTCTTGTATTTAAGTGTTTTATTCTGTTACAAGCAAACATGGCTCTTGGCCTGGAAGAACTTAAAATACCAATCATGAAAAAAAACTGCTGACAAACCAAAGCTGGAAGAGTTCTGTTTTCTGATGGTCCCAGCCCTGGAAAGCCTTCCAGCCTTCTGAGGATAGGACTGCACAAAAGGACCCTTCCGCAGAACTGTCTCCCAAGTCAGGCAGCAGCACCTTGAGTCTTCACTACATCCGCATGTTCTCAATAGCCAGTGGCTACCATGCCTGACCAAGCTTTCTGCTTAAGTCATCTTCTGCCCAAAAGAGGAGCTGGATTTCACTTGTTTTCCTTCAGACACCTCCCTTCACATGCATAGATAATATAAATAACACTAATAACCACAAGTGACTCAGAACGTTTACTAGGAGCCAGGCAAGGTTCTAAGTGCTTTATGTAAAGATTGGCAAATTCAATCCTTGCAACAACCACGTGAGGTACTACTATTGTTAACATCGTTTGTGTATATGAAGAATGCAAGGCTTTCTTAACTGAGAGGTTAAGTCACTTGCCCCAGCTCACATAGCTAGAAAGCAAAGCTGGAATTTGAACCCAGGCACCGTGGATCCTGACATGTGATGCTTTCATTTTCCAATTGTTTTCTATTTAGCTGCATTTTATTTCTTCAGACTTCTGGAAATGGTTATAAGGAGGTTTGGGGGCAGGGAGAGTGGTGCAAACGGGGTGAGAGACAGGAAATAATCTTCAGTTAATTCCTTCCTCTCCCAACTCACCCACTCACATCCATATGTGTACACACACACACCCTACATCCCTTAAACACATACTTATTTTCCATACTTTTTAAAATGTATCATTCTCCTTCTCCATTTAGCAATTCCCAATTTATCCTTCACAGTTCAGATCAAACGCTGTTTCTTCAACAGACCCTCCCTTAATTCTCACACGATCATGAGTTTTCCTCCCTCCGCATCAGTGTTACTTGGTTCAAGTTCAAGACATAACATTTATCAAATTATGGTTGGATATGTGTCTCTTCTACTAAGCTGTCAGTGCCTCGATGATGGGAATTGTGTCTAATCTGTATTTCCATCTATTCCCACCCTCAAGGAAGTATGAGTCATAGGAAATATTAGGTATATTGTTATACCTGATTGAATGGAATTATTGTGCAACACAAAAGATAAACAGTAGCTTCATAATTTTTGGCTGGAGGAACAGAGTTCTGGCAAACTGGTACTTCATGATATGGATAATTAAAATAAGTGCATTTGAATAAGCAAGTTGAGGCTCTTTGTGTCTCAGTTCTCTCAGATGTGACATGCGAGGGTTGGACTGGCTCAAGAATCACAGCCCTGTGGCGGGTGAGGCTGTACAACCGCCTGCAGAAGCCATTGCTCCTATTTCCCGCTGGCCCAGAGTGGCCTCAGACAGCGATCCCCCACTGGGCTCCAGCCGCCACAGCTGTTTGATCAGAGACAGCCTGTAGAAAGAAATCCCCTGGCTATTCCTAATTTCAAAAATGTCTTGTTTTGATGAATGACAGGGTAGAACATGTTGATCATCATGTAATGAATAAACTGGTTTGGGCAATTTCACTTGACAGACGCTCCCTGTAGCTCAGTTTTTTCATGTGCTGAGGTGTTTTCAGTAGTTCCTTTTAGCGTAACAAGAGAAACAGGACACCAAAGGCTGTGGCATGTGCTACTTGATCACAGAAGTGAGTGACATTTGATTTGGCTTTTGGCCAAAAATGTTCCCATCTCCACAAAGTTTGAGTCCAAGCAGTGCTGTGCAGCTCCCAGGGTTACTTCACCTTCCTTGCTCTCCAGGACTACCAACTTCTTGCCTTAATCCCTTTCTCCAGTAAGTATCCATGACTTTTCTAATGTGACCACCTGGCACACAAAATCAGTTTAAAAACACACACACAAGTTGGGAATAGGGAATACAGGAACTAGAGAAGGCTCCTCATGCCTCCACTCCTGACCCTGATGAGTGACGTGTGCTCCTGCCGTTCAGGGCTCTCCGGGGAACCAGTAGATGCCATTTAGATAGATGTGGTCAGTACCTGGGGTTGGCCGAAGAGCAGCTGCCGTGTGTCCGTATCATGTCAGACCTTGGGGACTCAAGACCTGAGGGTGCCTAGTGGAAACTTGGAACCAAACCCTCTCTGGAAAGGGCCCTAAGTGAGGAGCCAGGCCCCAGGCACACAGGCCTTATAGAGACGTGGCTAAGGACCTAGCTGCTGCCAGTGGAGGCAGCACGACTGCATGGAGCATCAGCACACTTACTCCTGTCTTTTACCTTCTTCTACTGAGGAAGGTTGTTCCCAGTTGTTTCTTTCATAGTTTACTCCATGTCAGGCTCAGGAAGTTGAAGTTGGGTAACAAATTGCTAAATGCAGGAAAGCAATCACCACCAGTCTTGGTTCTTGCTTGTGTTGTGTGTGGGTTCCCTGCTCACTGAGCGGACTGCTGCTTACTGAAGACTGCATACTCCATGCCAGCATTGCAAAGTAAGTCAGAGCTTCATTTAATGATTATTCTTTAAGAGGTACCATACCCCTCATAGGAGTTAACTCCCTTGAAGCCAATGAAGCTGAAGTTTCATAGTCTTTCACAGCACAGATCCCTGCAAGGCTCAATGCCTAATTTATACTACTAACTTTGTATTCTTTTGCAAAGAGTGTCCTCCAAATTGTATAAGGTTCATGTCCTACAAAACCTGGATCTGACCTTGTCTATTGCCATAGCCAGTTTGCAGTTATCTGCTAGCTGACTGTCCAAATTTCAGCTTTATCCAGGGGCAATCTTGCTAAGTATGGTTAATTGTCTTTTTAAGTGGTCCATTGTTCTTTTGTTTTCATATTACTTTTCACTTGACTTTCAAAGCAACAGAACTTTCTATGAAAAGGTGTGATCTGTCCCTACTGGAAGAATGTTCTAGTATATGGACAGTCTCTCATTCGTTCCTGAGACAAACTTGGTCTCTTGCCTTCAATTTTGTTCAAAATGAGCCCCTAGGACACAATATTCACATGTTAAGGAAACAAATATTTCAAAGCCAGATGTGAAGATTTGGGGCAGGGGAGCGGGGGCTGCCCATCATACTAGTTATTCTCAGCCCCATTAGTGAGGATAGCTAAAAACTGGCAGGATTTCTATTTTCCAATTTAACTGGGATTCCAAGGGTCAACTATTTGGTCATCTCATACTTTTGTGGGGAATTTTTACCTTTTTTGTTTGTTTTTAAATCACTCCTTTTCCAGCCAACAAAATAAGAACTAAGTTTAATCTCCAACAGAGTTTGAGCTCTGCCATTGTGTAACCACATCACTCTGGCTTAATACCACCAATGGTACATGACATGTTTGTTTCATAGTTTCTGTGTATTTAACAGAATAACTAAATGCTTAATAAATTAATATTTAACTCCTAGAAATTACTTTGTATCCTTTTGAAAATTATCTTTAACTTTTAAAAAGCAGGAAAACAGATGTAGGACACAGTCTAATAAATATATCTTCTTGATTAAGGACTCCAATGATTCACTTGTAATACATATTAACTCATGAAAGAAGAGGAATTTTTATCAAAATGTATTTCTTGGAGCTGAAAATTTGTTATTTTTAATGCATTTCTATAGGAGAGTTTGGATATTTTTTGAGGTGTTAAGTAATTGGTTTTCCAAGTCCCTTTAGCAGGTTAAGCTGTGTAACTCCATAGTCCCAGAGAATGGTGGGGCAAAGACAGATTGATCCTAAGTTACCATAGTATCCTTACACTTTAAAGCTAGTAAATGGATTTTTTAAAACTTCATTTCTATTGAAATATCTTCCTACATTTTTCATCTCTACCATAAATTATGTGCCTTGATAATATAGCTGGCTTCGGTTTTCTTTCTTTGGTTATCAAATTCAAAAACACTGACAAGAGTTTAAATACAAGAAAAGTTATAAGTAAGTGCAGTATCATCACAATCAGATTGATATCATAGGTGGATTTCTAAAAGATTCACCACCTGCTCCTTAAGAATAACCTTAGACAGGTAACTACTTCCATCAGCGCTGACATTACAGACAATGGAAAAGAAAGGAGAGGAGGCAGGCGCTCTGCCTGGGGTGATGCTTTCCACACAGTGGTTATGCTGCGACACTGCAATATGAGTGCATTTACCATCATACGATCGTAATTAGGAAACAGCATGCACAATACCCCTTTCAGAGGATAAATGGCAAACATCTCTCCAGGTTGGCTCAGTCATTTTGATCCCGCTGTCTGTGGCCAGCATTCACGGCACACAGCAGGAAAGTTCTGAGTTTACACATCACAAAGTCATGGACAACTGCAATATGATGTATAATAGAATGAGAAAAGGGGTGACTATTCTTTTATGGAAAGAAAATTTCTTAAACTCGAGATTGAGCAATACCTCCTTTCCAATTCCCTCTTTTGTTTGGCTTTAGAAAGCATGCTGAGACCTCAACTCATGTTAGTAGAGATCGAGCCCTCTGGGTTTTAATTATTCTGTAAAAAGCAGTATTGCTTCTGGTCACAAAATAATACCTATATTCTAATGGAAATAAATTTTTATTTCAATTTTAAGGTCCATAGCTAGAGTCAGAGACATATATTTTCTTTGCACGTAAATATGTTGACTGCAATTTGACACTTTATAAAGATCCATTTGTATAATAGGATTATAAAGTATCATAATGTATCGTGTGCAAGATTGTTCTTTCTTCTCATTTATAAAATATTCATCCCAATATTCTTTTCTCACTATTTAAAAAAGCTATATAAACTTGTAGGTGCTTTCATTGACTCTTGTATATTCAAAATGTTGAATGTAAAATACTGGAGGTAAAATTAACTGTGTAATCCATTCTATGAGTAGTTTTCAAAAAGATAACATACCATGTGAGACGAGGTTCTGGCCAGCCAGATACAGAGCAGTGTAATGTTACTTTTTCTTTCTCCCAAACAGTGTGGGAACGGGGTTTAATGACAAACTCAGGAGCATGGAGAAGATGATCTTCATTCAACTTCCTATGATAGGCGTCAGTTTCTTCTAACTGCAAAAAACATCAAAATATTATGAAGTCAGAGCAAGTAGAAACCAGAATTATCATTTTTCCATTTGGAGCCTTACTTTTGTATTTAGATAAAATGCATTCTACTTTCCTCTTTAAAAACAGATAGATCATTTATGAACATGTTGAGCTTGAGCAATGCACTTGACTTTCCTAAGATAGATTTCTTAGGTTTCTCAGAACCTTAATTTCTGTAGAATCTAAAATTTCATGGAGTTTAAAACTATTAAGTTTTTCTTTGACCCATAGAGTTTGATGTCTTCCCCCTTTTTTAAAAAAAAATTTGTTGTCTTTAGTTTTATTTCTCCATTTGAATCAAGCTATACACACACACACACACACACACATATTACATATATTTCCGCTTTTGCTAGTTTTATTAAACTGTCTTTTCTTACAGTTTTTCTCAGTGACAGGTGTTCAGCCTTTTCTCGAATTGCAACTTTCCTTGATTTCTTCTCAAAAGCTTCCTCCTGATGAAGAGTGGACACAGACTGTTTGGATACCGTGGACTGTTTGGATGCCGTGGACTGTTTGGATACCGTGGACTGTTTGGACACTGTGGACTGTTTGGACGCCATGGACTGTTTGGACACTGTGGATTGTTTGGACGCTGTGGACTGTTTGGACACTGTGATTCCTTCTTCACTAGCAAGAAGATTCCTTTGGGCTAGATAAGCAGCAGCTTCTTTAATTCTTTCTTCTTCTGTGTCTGTAATTCCGCTGACATGTACTTGGCTAAAATATAATAGCAGCAAAACACATACATTGTGGATGGCAGTAATAAGATTGCTTAATTTTTACTACGTTCAGAGCCAGACTTCAGACATTGTGTGCCATGACCAAAGAAAACCTGACCGAAAAACTTGGCAAATCAGGAGCTAACTCTTCACACATAGGAGTGACCTTCACCTTAAAAAATGATGATACCAATAATACCTATTATTGCTCTGGTACTTGCCAAGTGCTTTTTACATGCATAATCTCATTTATCCTCACAACAACCCAATGAGGTAAAACAGTATCATTTCTATTTTAGATATACAGTACAGTATCTATTTTAGATATACCCAAGGCTCACAATTAGATAACTTGCCTGAGGTTATTTCCATGATTTCCTTAGTATAAATAAGGTTTTGTTTGAATATGGTTGAGTCTATTATAAAAGGTTAAGTTACAAGTTTCCTTCCAGAAAAGATATTGTAGAATGAGATATATAGTTTGTATGGCTGTGATCCTGTTACTGTGTGCTTGATCTGGATTCTATAACTCAGCTGATATAATGTATAGCCAAAAGCTATTGCATACATGAATAAGTTCTAAATTTACACAAGATTCTTTGGCCTAATGGGGTTCTTTCTAAGATATTAAAGGTTATGTGTGAGTCATATAATATGACAATCTTCATGTGTGCTTGCACAGAGCCCTGGTGAGAAGAGATGATCAACCTAGAAATTGAAGTGGTGCTATTTATCAATATGACTTGTTTTTGTGACTGACGATAATAGCAGGTGAGTGGTACCATCCAAAGTGCTGTGCCTAATGCAGTAGTTACTGCTGGAATTGTGTTGGGATTTATTAATGCTGTTAAAAATATTTGGATCACTTTTAACCTCCTTCAGTACCTTTGTTGTCAACCCTATTGGATGTTTCAGTGAGGGAGTACATTGACTCTATAGAAGATTCTCTTGAAATTGAATTTCCTTGGATCTCTTAAGATAGGATTGTACATTTGCTTGTCTTGTAAGAATAATTACTTCAAAATTTAAGCAAACATTGCCATTGTCTTTACAAGTTCCTGGCACCTGAATCTATGTAGTTTGCTGAGGAATAGGATTAATATTTTCCCAAGAATGAAATTTCTCATGGAATATCACTAAAACATCTGTTAGACAAGATTAGTCCACTTTGTTTCTTACTAAACTTAGTAAATTTTAATTGCCTTTTCCTTATCTCTATGTCTCCATATATTAATAAGTTAGTCTCCACTGAGAAAGTCAGTAATATATCCACTATAATGTAGAGGGAGAAAAAGGAAGATGGAGATTTTTAGCTTAGTGTCCTAACATAATTATCTCTATTTTTTTTAAAACTGAGATTGGAAATGAATGAATTCATAAGTGAACATAAAGCAGATCATCATGAGAATCTGCCTGGAATTGTCTATAGAGGTTAAAATACAATACAGAGATATGAAATGAGCTTTGAAAGATGATAAATATAAATAATAATGGATTATATTCAATGCTAGTCTTGCTGTGTGTTGAAACAACTCTAAGATAAACTTAAGCTCACATTAACTGTAACAGTGGACATGTTGATTTGGTTCTAAAAGACAGAAAGGAGTCACAGTCTCCTTGCCTTTTCCATTTACAAATAAGCTCAACCTCAGAAAAAAATGTAATTATTTCACATGAGAATTCAAATACAATTAAAAAAATACTTTTGACCCAGGACAGCAGGTTTATTCTTCTTAAAGTAAATATAGGTGTATGTCAGTGATAACAAAGTTGACTCAACTTATCAGAGTATAAGAAGTAAAACTTTCAAGTGCCATCTGGAAGAAACAGTGTTTTCCAGAAATGCAGTATAATTGCTGAATGCATGTGTGTTGCACTGGCCAATTCTAGGGAGACTCTAAAATGCAAAGTCTCAGCTCTTCCACTACCAGCTATGTGACTTTCAGCAAGTTATTGAGCCTTGATTTCCTTGTCCAAAAGCTGATATACTAATAGGTCTCCAAGCCTGTACTGAGGATTTAGCAAGACAGTTTATACAAAGTACCTAGTATGATTCCCAGTAATCAACAGGTACTCAACAAAGGTTCATTTCTTTCCCATCCTCTTCTTAGATTGTTAACACTGCCAACACCCATTTCAACATAGTAATAGAATAAAAGAGATGGCTCCATATAAAAAATAAAGGAAAACAAGCAACAGAACCCAGAAGATGGATTTTTATTCACCTTTTCTTTTACTGCAGTTAATTTCATAAATTATCATTTCTTGAGCCTGGCCTTGAGGAGGCAAAATAGTTTGATGGGGAGAGAGAAGACACTGAAAGTGAGAAGGTTCATTTCATGCCCATATGGAGAGGCATGCCATGCCGGTTAATGCTCAGTTGATATGGTTTTTAAATGCTTTTTAAAAAACAAAGTAGGAAAAAAGCAGAAAATGAAATCTTTTCTTCTCTAGCTTAGCCATCTCTTGTAAGGAATATGAGCATATATTAAAGTAACTGTGAAGAGGCCAAGTCTGGGCAAATATACTTGGCAATATCATCATGTTTCAATGGAAAATCTACTTCTAAAAAAATCAGAGATATCAAAGATATCAAAGAAAAAGCTAAGACTAGAATATTATGTATCCTCTTACCCTCCTGAGTTCAGAGCAATTATGATATTAGTCTCTAATTCCAAAAGCAACTGTTGGAGAAGAATGGGAAGGAAAACACAGGAGAAAAGAAATAGGCCCCCAAAAGTGACATTATTGTCTGGGGAACTTCCTGACAGCATCTGCCCTGAGAGGATTTCTGGCCTTGTTTGGAGTATCACTGTAGTTCTATGAATGATTCTCTGTTCAAAGGAAAATAAACAGGGAAGGCTCAAAAAATTCCCATTAAACTTTAATTTGGTGTCCCAGACAACTTCCCTTTCAAGATTCCTTTGAATATTATAATTAAAAATACCTTTTCATTATAAACACAGAAATTTTGTATTAACAGATTTGTAATTTAGTGATTATTTTGAAGTTTACCTCAAAACAGTCAACTATTTCACATTAAACAAATACAAGCCAAGCATTCAAATTATGATGCAATTCTTTCATTTAGTCTGTTATCTAAGGTTTTTTTTCTTCTTAATGAATAATAATTAAAACTACACTGGCAACCAAGATGATTTCCATTTACTTAAATATATCATCTGATTTTTTTTTAGTTCACCCATCATTTTATAATTTTGAACATTTCTTTCTATTTCACCTGTAGTGGCTATATATAGTGTCCAATCATGAGGATCCAATGTTTTCCTTTTAATTTCAACTGGTTACATAACTAGAATTAAGTTCCTTATCATTCTCTTTTGTCCTGTAGCCATCCTGTGTGATGGCAAACATTTCTTTTTTGTAGTTCACTGTTTATTTTTTATTAAGGTATCACTGATATACAATCTTATGAAGGTTTCACATGAGCAACATTGTGGTTACAACATTCACCCTTATTATCGAGTCCCCTACCATGCCCCACAGCAGTCACTGTCCATCAGTGTAGTAAGATGCCACAGAGTCACTGCTTGTCTTCTCTGTGCTATACTGCCTTCCCCGTGACCCCCCTACATTATGTGTGCTAATCATAAGATGGCAAAATTTTTACAGCAACACCTCCCTCACTACAGGGTTTCATGGTTCCTCAGACTTTTCCTAACTACTCAATAAATGTTAGCTGCAATTATTATTTTTACCTGACAACATTTACTCTCCATTTTCTAATGACCAAAGCCAGGTAGAGAATGTATACGCACCGTCCTGAGAAAATGGGCACCATATAGTCACTTGGCAGATTTTCCTTCTCCTCCCCAGACAGAAGGCTCTTCTTGGCTCTCTTTGTTTGGAGACTCAACTTGGATGAATAATCTCCTAACATCACACTGGAATCTGTAAGTCTGAAACAAAACCCCTAATATTAGGCAATGACCAAAAAAATGCACTTAAAATACGCAAAATGCTTACAAAAAGAAGTTTTAACTTGGGGAAAGTTTCACAGAATACTAGTTCTCTAATGTTATAATCATCTTTCATCTCTAGAACTAAAGCAGAGTGAGAAAGCCCTCAAATAACGCACTCGATGCAGACTCAAGAGGAAAATGGGTTTATAGTAATGTCATAGCTTTATGCCCCTTAACGTTTCACAGGAAAACAGCAGTGCTCTTGTAATAGTTCCAAATACCTTTTTCTGTTAAGTTGATGTTTGATGTTTAGGCAGGCTGTATAGATGGTTTGGATACATACTGCATCCAAATCCTTTTAGGGGATTGGTAAAATGCAAAATTTTCTGTAGAGGGAGCTCAAGTGTTTCTGATGCAGGGCCCCTAGGTTTGGCTTTGAGGCCTTTATGGAGTGTAGACAGACTCCTCTGTTTGAAGGAACACCAAGCTCATCAACACCAGATAATATGTTGATATGAACACACAGTGTCTCTGGAGTGACTCGAGACAACCACAGGGGTGTGATAAAGAACGCCTTGGTCAGTTCTGTTGCACAAAAGAATCCACCCATGCTCACTGATGCAAAGGTGCACAGGGAGGTAGGTAGCTCGTCTTCTAATAAACCAAACAATGTATTTAGTGGCACAGAAAACATGGCAGCAGAGATTGCACCTAGAGAAAAAGGATTAATGAAACAAAAAGTACAATCTTAAGTTTATATAGTTCTTGATGAAATAAAATGTATTTTCACTCAAACATATATAACTTGGCATACATTTCAGAAGTTCATGGACTATCTGAAGCCAATCCATGGACTCAGGTTAAATGCCCCTGGCCTAAAGGTGTTCCCAATAGGTAAGCTGAATGAAAACTCTTTACTAGCCTTGTAACTTTTCTGTAGATTTGAAATGATTCTAAAATAACAAGTCAATATTAAAAAGGCCCCTGGTCTAGAGAATCGGAAAAGAAAGTGAAGCACATGAGTGGTGTGGCATGGGAAAAGCAAGCTGCCCAGTGAAACAGAAAAACCTTCCAAATCACTCAAACTTTGACCATTTCCCAATTTTTAAAAAGCACTCGGTAAAGCAAGATCACCTAAATCAAAAGCAGTGGGCAGGCCAAACATATGCATAGTACAAAATGGATACACAATTATGCAAGTAAACTTATTCTCTGCTAAATAAGAAGCACAGAACTGTGGGGCCTCTAGGAAGCACAGGGACAGTGGCTCTGGGCCTGGGGGTATAGGATGAGCTACTGCCTTTAATCCCTGGACTGGGGTGGTGGCATAGAAATGGCAAACCTCTTCTTCCCTCAGGGTGAATAGCTCTTATTCATGATCAGCATTAAAATTAAAGGTTAGAACCTTGAATTCAAGGTTGTGGAGTGGTTGAATTCAAGGTTGTGGATTAGTGAAATTTGTTCCTGGCTGGCTGTTCCAGGCACAAGAAAATGACTACACTCTATACCCCCAGCAGGTTACAAAGTACAGGCTGTGCTTTCACAGGTCTAAATTTAAAGTGCTATTTTCTTGCACCCCTTTAATTCCATTCAAAATAAAATTAAGGAGTTTAAGAATTTCTGTTTTTTCTACTTACAGAACATTTGCATTTTCTAATTTTTCTCCTGTTTTCTCTTTTTGCTCCTTTCTTTTTACTTTCATTCATTTCAGTAATATTCTCAAGAGCTCATATTTTCAGTGTATTTATATCAAAACAGCTACGATTTGTCATTCTTGTTGTATTGTTGCTCCTTTTTTCTATCATTTTCTCCTCAAGTTAAATCTTTAAAATGAAGTATTTACATAGAAAGTGCCATAATGTTATTACTGCATTCTCACAGGTAAATTAATAGTTGAACTTCATGGCTAAGATTCATGGCACTGTCATCATTTTCTATTTTCTATTTTATTTGGGACAAAAGACTTCACAAAAAGAATTATGATGTTATGTATTATATAGCATTATTTAGGAAATTCAAAATATTTAGAAAAAAACAAGTCTTTGTTCTGCTCTCTAAAGTTTCTTCAGGCTTTTGAATCCTAATAAAAAAGAGTATGTGAAGGATTAGATGTTCAAATACTATAACAGACTACTGAGTAATGCTAAATCATTTATTGAAGCTGACAAACAAAACTAAATCAGAAACCCAAACTTTTAAGGGACTGACTAGGTAATCATCAGTGTAACTAATTATTTGAAGAAAACCCATCAATAGTTTGTTTTGTTATGCCCATGAACATTGACCTCTAAAATCTTACTCTAACAATTTTAAAGTTGAATAATATTTTTAGAGGATTTAAATAGAATATGTAAAACTTAAATGTCTTCGAACTTAAATCAAAGGGCTAAGTAAGGTCTTGCTAACCTCTTAGGCTGTTAGTTATATCTAAATTTTGAAAATAATCCTCTGTCTTTTAAATCAGTTTCTGAGAAGACACTAAACAATAGGATGGATCTGTGTGAGTCTTTTAACTATTAAAATTAACATTTAATGTTTCTTATGTATACAGCTTAAATCTTGAAACTTTCTGAATTTCAATTTATCAAGGCAATGAAATTAAGCAATAATTAAGGATTGATTTGTGTGTGCACATGTGTACCCATGCATCTGTACCTATGTCTAGGTACATCTTTTTGTACTCTGCTGCTAATTGTGGTATATCCTCCATTAACATGCCTATAAATAGCAGAATTTAAAGAAATATCATAGTATGTGTGATATCATCACATCTACGATCAGTAGCAACACAGAGAAGGGATGTAGCCAAGGGACACAAAACTGTCTGTGGCAACATTCCAGGAACTCTGAAATAGGCTTAGACCTCCATCCAATTCCAGTACAGATGGTCCCTGATTTACAATAGTTTGACTTAACATTTCTCAACTTTATGATGGTGTGAAAGCAATACACATGCAGTAGAAACCGTACTTTGAATTTTGAATTTTGATGTTTTCCCAGGCTAGTGATATGCAGTGTGATATTCTCTGGTGATGCTGGGAAGCAGCAGCTAGCTGCAGCTCCTCATCCGCCACACAATCATAAGGGTGAACAACCAGTATGCTTACAACGTTCCATACCCATACGACCGACCATCCTATTTTTCACTTTTGGTACAGTATTCAATAAGTTACATGAGATAGGCAACATTTTATTATAAAAAGACTTTGTGTTAGATGATTTTTCCCAACAATAGGTTAATGTAAGTTTTCTGAGCATGGTTAAGGTAGGCTAGGCTAAACTGTGATATGCAGTAAGTTAGGTGTACTAAATGAATTGCTACTTACAATATTTTCAATTTACGACGGGTTCATAGGGAGGTAACAACACAAGGAAGATCTGTACTCAACAACAACAAAAAGATAACCTTCTGCTTTTACAACTTCATATTTATCTGTGACAGGAAAAGGAAGACAAAAACCACTTACAGAATTCTAGAGCGGGGAGATATCTCAGGGATATTTGTGCCAGGCTCCTCATGTTATAGATGTAGAAGACCTGTAGTGTCTTTGTGACTCACACATGTTCACGCAGCAAGTTAACAGCTGAACTAGGAGTAGCAACCATCTAATTAGTTCTTTTCATTATGCCAGTGTTTTTTTAGCTTTTGTGACTGAGTACTCTCCACCCAAAGACTGTGGGGATATGCCACCTACATATATTTATTTATTTGTAAGTTCTATGCATATACTACTGTATAAATATTCTTACTTTATGAACCATTCAATCAATAGAAAAAATATAAACTCTAAATTCAGTTTTTTAAAAATAGAATACAATACTATTTCTTCCTACACTTCTATGGTTTGTCTTCATGGACTCCCCACTTTGGAAAACATAACACTACATCATACTGCCCTTAACAGCTCTGATGTTCATTTGCAATTCCTGAATTTGCACATAAACTGAGGTTATGACATCATCTAGTTCAATAATAATCCAGGTTATATCACAGTCCTGCTGAAAATAAAGCATTAAAAACTCCTTAAACTTTACATAAAGTGAAATGCTAGGGGAAGAAATAGAGCTATGTTGAAGCAAAGTTTCTATGTTTTACTGGTATTAAGTTAGTATAAATATGAAATAGTTAGTAATAAGTTAATATGTGTATTATAATTCCTAAAGCAATCCCTAGCAAAATAATTAAAAATACAGTCAAGAAACACAGAAATAAAACACTTCATTAAAAATATCTATTTAACACAAAGCAGGACAGTAAAGGAGGAACAAATGAACAAAACATATGAGATATATAGAAAAATAATAAAAGTGGTAAACAAATCCGATGATATCAGTAATATTATTAAATGTGAATAGATTAAAAACTCCAGTGAGGAGCAGAGATTGTCAGAATGGATTTTTAAAAATCCAATTACATGCTGCCACAAGAGCCACAGTCTAAATTCAAAGACATATATGTGTTAAAGTAAAAGGATGAAAAAAATACACCATGTAAATGATAATACTAAGAAGCTGGAGTGACTATATTACTATCAAACAAAACACACTTTAAACTGAGAAATATTATTAGAGACAGAGAAGGACATTTCATAATGATAAAAGGATCAAATCCTCAGAAATACATAACAATTATACATTTTTATGCATCTAACAACAGCCTCAGAATACATGAAGCAAAGAATGACAGAATTGAAAGAAAAAATAGAGAACAAAATACTCAGAGACCTCAATATTCTACTCTCAATAATTAATAGAACAACTAGACAAAAGTCAGCAAGGGTATAGGAGACTTAGATAACACTATCAAATCAACTTGGCCTAACTGGCCTTTCCAGAAAACTTCACCCAGTGACAACAAAGTACAAATTCTTTTCAGCATTCTCCAGGAGAGTTCATATGCTAGCTCACAAAATCATCTCAATCAATTTAAATGGATTTATATCATACCAAATAAATTATCTAATAACAGAATTAAATAAGAATTTACAACAGAAAGA